TATCTTTCCCAAGGGTATTAGCACGTAAATGAATACAACGGATTCGATTGAAATTCGAACTCGGCTCTCCGATTCCTCGGAGTATTCAAATTAATATGCCATTCCTTGCCCCGGTTAACAACAAACTTTAGGTTATTTTTTAGATCAACTGCAAATTTAACCTTATCGAACTGATCAGACTTACTATCGAGACAGGAGTAAGTAGTTTTGTCATCAACATAGATACCGAGTTGAGAAACAATGTCATCAGGAAGTTCATTAAAATTAAAAAGGTGGAAGAAGAAGGTCGATCTAGGTAGCTCCAGACCATATCTGGGTTGGAGCTACACAGATATGACAGTAATAATAAGAAAAATCCAAAGAAGAATCAGAAATATTATCGATCCTGATCTGTCAGCTCGGCTTCAGTCACTTTCCCGCCGCTTTTGGCCTCCCTGTGTCTTTTCTATAAATATTTTCGTGGCAAATGTTCGGATGAGCTCTTCGCTATTTTATGTAGTTTTTTGAACATAGGTTATTTCATATTGTAAATATACATTAGGACTTATAAATTTAAATTTTTTGTTTCATCCCCCTCACCCACTACAAAGACAAGAATTGTACATATAGAAATTAGTTGTTTTTTCATGGAGATTCTGGGGTATTATGGTGGATGTAATAAGAATGGTAAGTAAGAATGCGATGTTTTGGTGTAAGGAATATTGTAGTATGTTTGAGTCAGTGATTGTGGCTAAGTTTAAATTTTAAGACAGAAGAAGACAGTCCTTTTCCCCATTTCCCATTTTGGCCTTGTGCCACATTTTTGTAATTCATTACAAATTAAATATTGCTCTTCGCTATGGCAACTAGAGTTTTTGAATTTAAGCGCAGTACTAGACAAGCGTCGAGAACTCATCAATTTTTAGTTGAACTGGCTAGATGTAACCGTAAATTCTATGCTAACAGTTTCTACTCTCGCACTTCTAACTTGTCGAACTCCCATCCGACTCCATTCTTTCCAAACAATTTGAATGTTCGGAAATTGAAATGTAATGTCAATCGCCATCTACTGTCCTCCTGATGACTCTTTTTGTTTTGTTCTTTTGATTTGTAACATATATTTTGGGAGTAATCTGACCCTTGTAAACACAAGAAGACGTTAAGTACTTTCTGGAGTGGTACGATAACTGACCATTTGATTGATCGAATATGGGTTCGCTTGAGCCCTAGAGCGATTTTGAGTCCCTTGAAGTACGGGTCTGATCTGTGATGATGAAATGATTAAACCCCAAATGTTTTCACAAATAAAATAATTATCGACTCTGTTTGGTTAGTTATAAAATATTAGAGATCCGTTTTTTGTTGTCTTCCATCCGCATAGCAAATGCTAAACACTAGAAGTTTCTCTTCGCTCCTGTTCGGGTAAACCTCTTCCACTTGCATGAATTGAAATGATTATATTGAATCAAATGCCAGGTCAGCTGCCAGGAAAGTTGCTTCCCTGTATACAATTTTTTCTCGTCAGAATCTATCTTACATATTTATAAGTCTACCATTCGTCCATGCGTTGATTATTGCTCTCGCGTCTGTTCTGATGCTTCTGCTAAGTACTTAGAGATACTTGATGCAATACAAAGAATCTGCAATGTTATCGGTCCTAACCTAGCATCTCGGCTTCAGGTCATTTCCCAACGATGTAACGTAGCTTGCCAGTTCCTTTTCTATAAATACTTTCAAGGTAATTGTTATGATGACCTTTCTTCTTTAGTGTCTCGACTTTAAGAAATTTAAGCGCAGTACTAGGTTGCATCATTTTACTATTGAAATTGCTAGATGCAACCGTAAGTTCTATGCTAACAGTTTCTTCTATCACATTTCTTGCTTGTTTTAGCTCCCGTCCAGTTTCAAAGTAACTTTGATCGCCCAAAAATTCATATACAATGTTAGTCGTTATCTTCAGTCTTCTTAATACCTGTTCTTTTATTGTCCGTTCTCCTTAATAATGTTTTTCACATATTCTTTCACGCTCAGTAACCCCCTGTGGCAATATTATCTTACATGGGTCACTGAAAGAATTAAAAACAAAAATAACGAGCGATTCATATTTATATTTAGGAAATATTTATATTATATTTATATGAAGACGAATTTTAGGACACACACAGATACACATACACGCATTTTTTTCTCTCTCTCTCTCTCTCTCTCTCTACATATATATATATGTGTGTGTGTGTGTGTGTGATAGAAATTATTAGGAGGATTTGAGATAATCATAATTAAGTAATTCATCGAGTCTAGAAGAAACCTCAACAGAATGCAGAAAGCACTGAACGGCCGTTTCGTCCTATATTTGGTACTCATCAGCTGTGCGCATCCACTACCGAGAATTGAAACACGGACAGTTATGATATCAGGCAAACGTCACCAACTATATATATATATATATATATATATATATATATATATATATATATATATATATATGGAGAGAGAGAGAGAGAGAGAGAGAGAGAGAGAGAGAAAGAGAAAGAAAGAAAAAAGAAAGAAAGAGAGATAATGTAATTTTAGTATATGTATATTATATATATTTTGATTTACATTTTTATTAATATTATAGTCCAGATAATACACATATATATATATATATATATATATATATGTATGTTCACTTGCTAGTAATTTACAATCGCCTGATGAGATGCATTGATACGCATTGTAACACAACTTCAATTGTGTAGCGATTTTTACATGTTTTCTGTGTAATATCCTAAAATAAATACAATTGCTCTATTCTGTATTGATCCCTCTTTTTAAGTTAAATGTTACCAACGTTGGAATTGTGCTCTATTCGTTCTCATTGCACCTG